AAAAAACATAAACATTTATGAAAGCTTCTGTTAACATTATGGTAAAAAATTATTATAATGAAATTAATGTATGAAAACTGAAAACAAATCAATAAAATGTGACTTTTTTATTTAGAATAATTTATTTTGTAATTGACTTTAATGAATTTGTTAAAATACTTTAAAAAAACAACAACAAATAATCATTTCTCAGGCTATTTAAATCCATTCCCAGGTTAAAAACAATGACCACAGTAATTATCAGCAATTCTCAGCAGCGACAGTACCTCAACAGTATTTATCAGTATTTATCAGACTCCACAGTAAAAGACGACAGTAATTATCAGTATTTATCAGCAACAACTAAAATTATCAGCAACAACAGTAATAATAACAGTAAATATCAGTAATTATCAGCAAGAACAGCACCGTATCAGTAATTATCAGACATTATCAGTAAAATTTGGGATTCTCAGCACTTTTTTCGTCCAGTAGTGTCTCTCACTTGATTGAATTGATCTGATTTATTTAAGAGGCTGTCCACCGAAAAAACAGGCAATAGGTGGCACATGGCATGTCATGGATTTTAATTATTTTTTGCATGTAGACTTCTTTAAGCAAGTGTTCACACATGATAATATCAAAAAAAAAATTAGTGATCCTCTAGTCCTATTTTTGGTAAATGTATAATTTTAAGTGCAAAAAGGTCAACATTAGGGTATAAAAAATACTACGTTTTTATTTTGTTTTATATGTAACAGATACTCAAAAGCTAGATGTGTTAATCAGTATTATTTATAGGAAAGACTCTTATCTTTTATTTTATAATAAATAATGTGGTCCAAAATTGAGTTTTGCAAGTGACTTTTTGAATTCAGTATCCGATTTTTGATACGTTATAAAATCCAATACATTATTATGACAGAATTTTTCCCTCATGTTATTATGAATACAAAGTACAAACTTTTGAGTCACTTCATAAAATTTGTGGGAACAGGTATATTGAGGGAAATAAAACGAGTCAAATTCACCTATTATCTACGATTTTTCCCAAATTAAACCGATCCCGATCGGAATTATATAAAGAAGAAAATACTGTAATTGTATTGTTAAATTTGGCTCTTTTGTTGTTATATACTTCAAAATTTACTAAATCTATTTTTATACATGTCTTATGGGTGACAGTTGCCTTTAATTTGATAACTTTACAAATTTTGAATTATTTTCGATCGGGATCGGATTTATTTTAATCGGGTGTGGTTTTAAGGAATATTTCCTAAACATGGTTCTTCATTTTAATTTACCAGAGAAATAATATGCCTGTCTTTTGTTCTTTTCAGTCAATAAAATGTTTTAGAAGATTTTGTCATTATATTCAAATGTATACGTATATATTTAAATTCCTCATGTCTTTTATGTACAAGATGGCAGTGTGCATGTAAAAAAAAAAACTTTGATTTCTTGATACTCGCGCGGATCGGTATTTAAAAAAGCCATTAGTGTTTGTACGTATGCATTATGCAGCAGCTGAGAAAGAAAAGCTCAGCTTCATTATTTTTCTTATTTCCAAGTTTTTTTTTCTTTCATTAATGTTTTCTCAGGAATTAATAAGGAGTTAAATTCTATTAGTGTCGCACGTACCTACAGTGTAAATACAGAAAATATTTTTATGTGCATAGTCTCGGGTTTATCCAAGTTTTTTCAAGCTAGAATTGGCCAACATAGCCACATATTTTAACTCCATATTAAAGTGAGTATATATTAATTTCTATCCCCTAAGTATAAAAGAAAAATAATTTTATTAAAAAAAAAAAAAGTAACGTTTCACTGAACCATCTTCCGTTTTAGTGTCAAATTGAAGTGGGGAGTTCAGCAGTAATCTTCCGTAACAAATATTATTGTAACTTAAATTATTTATCAGGTTTTTTTTTCATATTTTTCGTACCGCTGCTTTTTTATTTTTTTTGACTGCAAAGATAAATATATTAGAGATTTTACAAAAACATGTATCTTGAAGTAAACATCTCAACTTCGATAATTAATTTTGCGTAAATCTAAAATATTCACGAGTTCTTAATAACCAGGGAAAAAAAATTTCACATCCCAATAACATAAGAAATATTCGGTATAAACACTATAAAAATTAATTAACTAGTTTTGCGCAAATCCTAGTATTAAACATGTATAAGAAGATATAAAAACATTATTTAACATGTTGGATAATGCACTGTGTAGAGTAATTGAACAGAAAAGGAAAAATTACTTTTTTAAAATTATTTTTTCTTTGCACTTTTACGCAAAGATTACAAACTTTTCTGGAAGTCTTGTAACTATTTGATTGTGACGCAGTATTAGTCAGGTATATGACGTCACTGATACATCAATGGAAACGTGGATTCAACCTGAATAATACAGCCCATTTTTATCCAAATATTATGTTTGAAGGCGTAAATGAGTTCTATTTTGAAAATAAAGTAGTCATTTTTTTTAAAAAATAATTTTCTTTAGTGTGTCAATTCTAAATATTTCTCTAGGATTCCGATAGTAAGGTGTGTTTCAGATTTACTGATTCCACGGGAGATAACTCTTGCACTGCAAAATTTCATAAAATCGTCTATATATTTTGCCAAAAAACTAATTCAAAAGTGATTTTCCCACCGATTTTATTTTTGAAACAGAAAGATGAAATATTTCTAGATTTAGTTCAGCGTGAATTTTAGTCCTTTTAAAAATGTATTAGAAGTTACAGTTCTATGTTTCTGACCTAAATTCAATGGTTTATATAGGGGAACTCAAAAACACGAAAGAAACGGATATTTTACTAAATAAGTAATTTTCAAACAAATCTTCGATTATATTATTCCATTTGGACTACATTGATATTGTTTTCAATAAAATATCAAATATTCCTCACATTCGATGTGCCGCCTACCAATACAATACTGCCTGGTTTTCCGGTGGACTGCCTCTTAACAATATCAAATACTCACAGATGACAGTGATTTAGCCCATCTCGGTCCCTTATTTGAGGGGGCCAGCCCCTTTTTCTTCATTTCAAATGAATGGTCTTGGAATTTGGAAGACTTTTTCTTCAACACCAATTCACATTTTTCTTTTGTTGAAAAGATATCTCGAATGGAAATATGGACCACCTATAAAAGGCCACCTATGCAAGTCCTAAATGGACCGTTTTTCAAAAAACTCAAACGATGCATATTGTTTGAAACAGTATTCTGACCATCTTTTGTTCAAAATTGCTTATCATAAAAGTCCCCCTTTTTTAGATAAAAACCGTCAAAGATTTTAAAATTTTGGCCCCTTATGATCCCTAATTACGTAACATATGATCAAAATTTTATAATATGTAGTTGCAAATTTTTAAGTTATGCATTTTTTCTTCAGTAATTTATTAAAAAATATTGATCGCTAACGAGCTAAAGATAAAAGACTTGAGTTGAGGAGTCAGTCCCTTTCTTTCCTTATTTTAAATAAAAGGTCTTATGAATTCAAAAACTTTTTGTTCAACACTTATTCAGAGATTTCTTTTCGTTGTGGAGATATTCTGAATAGAAATATTTAGGGGCTACCCATCCAAGTCCTTAATGGGGCCGTTTAACAAAATTTGAAATATGCATATTGTTTAAAAATTTATTCTGACCATCTTTTGTTTAATATTGCTTATCAAAATATTCGCCCTTTTCGAGATATAAAACCTAAAAGATTTAGCATTCTGGCCCCTTGTGACCCCTAATTACGTAACATATGATCAAAATTTTATAATATATTGTTGAAAATTATTAAGTTAAACATTTTTGCTTTGGTTATTTATAACAAAACATTGGTAGTGAACGAGTAATAGATGAAAGTCTATTGGCCCCTCTAGGCTCCTAATTTGAGAAGGCAGCCCCTTTTTCTCCATATCAAATGAGAGATCTAGAACCTTTGAATACCTTTTCTTCTGTATGTATTAACAAAATGTTTACAAATAAAAAGATATAATAGAAAAGTTGTTAAATTTTTTGAGATATTTTTGAGTCCTTTTTTAAACCCAGGCTAGCTTCGGTGCCTTTTGGACTGGAAAAATATAGGCTCAAAATGGCCCTTATACAATCCATCCTCTATCTACACTGAAAATCTCAACTCCATATTTTAAGTCGTTTAGGTGGAGTTACTCGGACAAGCAGACCCTCTGAAAATCATAGAATCGTCCATATCTCCGGACCAGAAGTGACGATCTCAATACAAAAAATTTCCGATAAGGTTCTGACGAATATCTATTAGATCTGAAAGTTTCATGAAAATCCATCGAGCAGTTTCGGAGAACTCGCGTGCACAAAATCGGTAAGAATGTAGAAAAATAATAGGAAGAAGAGAGAAAAAGAAACAGAACGGATACAAAAGGTTTTCCGTTGAAGAATTTTAAAGAATTTTCCTATATATTTCTATGTAAAACTTTGGTCGGCCATTTTTGCTCCGCCCTATCCCCGGGGGTCATGGTTTGAACAAACTTGAATCTACACTACCTGTGGATATTTCTCCAATAAGTTTCATCTTTCCTGGCACAGTGGTTCCTGAGAAGAAGATTTCTAAAATATGCCAACAGTATTTCAGTTATTCCCAATAATATCCCCTTGAATGAGGGCGTGGCCCTTCATTTGAACAAATTTGAATCCCCTTTACCCAAGAATGCTTTGTGGCAAGTTTGGTTGAAATTGGCCCATGGGTTCTTGAGAAAAAGTCGAAAATGTGAAAAGTTTACGGACAGACGGACGGACAGACAGACGGACGCCGGACAAAGTATGATCAGAAAAGCTCACTTGAGTTTTCAGTTTGTACCAGACTTAATAAAAAGACGATCATGATGAAATGTGAAATAGATTCGTCATGTGATACGAGTATATACTGTTCGGATTAAAAAGAATGATGGACTCCAAAATACTGATAAAAGACGTAAATTGAAGTGTTAATTTCTTTTGGTAAGATATATATTAAAAGAAGCATTTTCATATTTATCATTACAGACTACTTTGTTTTTTGGATAAAGTCTATACATACCTACTGTGGTCCTGACTACGAAAAAGATACAAAACCCATAGTTCTTATTGTGGCCACTCATTGGGAAGAAGGAAACAGACAATTCAAGGTTCGCTAAATTTATCTGGTAAAATTGTCATTTATACCAACATCATCATAAGAAATTTGATTTTTTTTTTCTTAAGGAACTTAATTC